CCTGAACAAAATTGACTCAGTCGGGTTGTGTTTCCTGATCAAGACATGGGAGGCTGGACGAATTTGATGCTGTAACAGGAACTTGGACATTGTAACAGGATCATGTGGCTATACATCTAGTTGAGGAGATTCTTGAGGAGGAGGGAATGGGAGGAGAGGAACTTATTGTGTTATCACGGCCTGAAGACAGTACTGGAAGAAGGGAGACCCATGGAATGATCAGGTTTAAATCAGTTCTGAAGACTGGTCTAGAACTAGGAGCTCAAGTCGACTTATATATCGTCTCTACCATCCTCTGGAACATTTGGAAAGCTGGGTGTGAAGACGTTTGATGATCGTTCCTTGGATGTTTGTCCAGGTCCTTGCCTGTACCGTTGCTGATCTCAATCTCTGTCTCTCTCCCTCTCTTCAAGCCCTGTCTCAAATCTGTATATATACTTTGGATCCTCACAACTTAACACAATCCTTCTGGACGACGTACAGATAACTTGAACCGGAATTATCTATTGTTTATTGTTTATTTAATAAAAATACTATTAGAAGGTTTGGGCTGGCTCACTCACACATGCATGGTATGGTGGGGGACTTTAGTCCCATATTGTTACTTTAGGAGGAGTGAGACCAATTGCGACGCGTGTATATATTGGGACGAGTCGTCATCTTTGACAGACAATTCATCTCCTCCTCTTACCACCGTGTTGTGCCGCCGCCATCTTCCCCATCCCGTCGCCGATGTGTCATCGGCGCCGGGAGAGCAGGTCTCTGAAGCCTACATCTCCTCGTGTCCCTGCACAGGGTAGGGGTTGTATCAGGTTTTTGGGGAGCGCCGTCGTGACTGCTCGCTGAACGTCTTCTTCCCTCTACGCCGGTGTTCGCCGATCTCATCGACGGTCTGCTTCGTCTACTTTTACGCTATCTCTAGCGTCGACAACCCCACTGTAAGAATGTCTACACTTTCTCTTTTGTTCGTTCTTACGATCCTTCTGTTAGTTTGCATCGGATCGTAGTGCTAGTGTTAAATCGCACGCCTATGATATATGCTGTTATTCTTTTTCTCAATGTTGAAATTAATTTATGCGTCACTAAATTGCTATTATTTCCAACAAATACAGTAGCTAGCTGACCATCTAAAACAAAAATGGGTTTAGGCAGCATACGATTTACGAATAAGTGGATCTTTTCAGGTGGTGTTTGACTGAAAAATGGGGTGGCCTGTCATCTTCACACTCATAACCTTTTGTTTGATTGGCGGAATAAAATTAGTTCATGTGATACTCTACCACTGTCCACCTCATTCTTTATGTGCTAATAATAATTTGTGCAAGCACTAGGAACGAGGTGAACCCACAAAAATTCACAAGATGAATGCATCATCTTATTTATAGGATGGAGTTCCCCTCAAATCAAACACCCCTAGTTCACGCATCTGCTGCCTATCCTTGCATCCTTCAAAAGTGCAATGTTTTATTTTTTTTGTTGACTTCCAATGGGCTAACCAAGTTCAAAGAAAAGAACATCCCCCGTTCGATTCTATTGTGATCTAATGTCTTAGATTAAATCAAAGAATCCATGCCTAATATAATGACAAGATTATCCGAAAAAACTTTATTCATTATGATCTAATAGTTTAGATTAAACAAACGTGCCCATATCTAATAAATTACGATATTAATCAAGAAATAAAAAACACCTACGCCGCTGGATTTCAAATCAAATCATCCATGTCTGGGGACAAAATTAAATGAACCAAGCATATGTTACTTCAATTTTTGCTTGATTATCTTTCACTATGTTTTTTTTAATAAAGAGAGCTTTATTAGTTACTCAATTTGTGGATAAAGAGAGATCCATATTCTATATTTTCTCTTGATTGTGTACTATTGAAAGTTTATAAGACCCCGTGGATCCAACTCATTACACGAGCTACTAATTCAAGATTACTATGAGCAGCATTCCGCGCCGTGACTAAATGTGCAGCTACGTTTTTGTTTATCACATTAAACTATTACCATAACATATCGGCCCTGTTCGGCTTACTTTAAAAGCCGGCTTATTTGACTTCTTTTTTCCAGCCGAAACAATGTTTTTCTCTCACAACATTTCAATTTTGACTTGTTTTTCAGCCAATTTCAACCAAACGAACGGGGCCAACGCCTCTAGTTCTATTGACTGATGCGCCTAACCTATCTCTATGTAGTTACAGTCAAGATCGAGGTCCTTTAAAATCCATTAGTTGTCCCATGCCCCTTCGTTGCTTTTGCTTCTTCCTTCTTTGGGTTCATGCGCGCTGAGATCTCGGAGAAGCAACCGCGGAGAGAAGGGGGTCAGGGTCCTCACTTCTCACTAGCAGACAGGTAGGTAGGGCAGACAACGGACGTCCTATTGGTAGGTCCGCTCCTATTCTAATATAATTACGAGATTAATCAGGGGAAAACACTATTAGTTATAATTTAATGGATAAATTAAATTGAAGAATCAATGCCTAAAATAATTATGAGAGTAATCAGAAAAAATAAAAAAGAACAGGACTTTGCTATGGTACTTCCAAATAACTGTGGACTATCGATTTGAGTAGCAATTATCATATATTACCTCCTAAGAGGTAATAGATATATAAGGAAAATATATTTCTATTAGATCTAATATGCATGCATGATCTAACTTTCCTGACTTGATCTAAAGTGTTCTGTGACATGGACATGGACACACACATGCATAGCGCGGTGGCTAGTGCGACACCAACTTCACACATGTGCAGCCGTACTTTATTTTATTTTATATAACATGATGGTTTGTAATTAGAACTAATACATAGTTATTTTTATTTATCTATTTTAGTTTTATTTTGAAATGTTATAGAGTTATTTCGTGATAGACGTACAAATTTATATCTTTTATAACGTAACAAACCGATATGTATCATGACATAATGAGATGAACGTGATAGTTGCACTGATTACACATATGCAGCACTTTTTAATTACAGGTGGTAGATCCAATTTAATTTAAGCGACATGTAACATATTTTGATGAAGATGACTTGTCCACAGTTTTTCTTAGAAAAGTACGTATTTGCATTGTGTGTACGTGGACGAAGATCCACGCCAGCACATTTCATTTTTACGGCATGCTGCCTGTTTGTATGCGGCACCAAACAAGGAAGATGGTCTGCATGGGGATATGCCTGAGATTTTTTGGGATTCCTTTTCTATTATATGTCTATTTAATTTATTAAATTGTTTTATTTATTTTTGAAAATCAAGGGCTATGATCTTTTTGAAGCCTTACCTCTTGCAAGGTAATAGCTGTACCGTAGCAAAACCCAAAAGAACATAGATCATTAGTTTCTATGATGATCTAACAGTGTAAAGTAAACAAAGACACCATGCTTAATATAAGTTATACCCATTAAATTTGAAATACTAAATAAATTAATAAAAAAATTTAATTTCCATAAAAGCTCGAAAAAACAACTCAATGCATTCCATATAAAACACAATTGCTAAAAGAATTTTTTTAATGACAACTACGAAAAGTTAATAGTTTGACCGGAGAATTCAAGGCGATCCAACAATTCAATTTAGAAAATGACAAGAAACTAAACAATTTGTGAGAGACTTAAGACCATAGTTTTCTTGAGGATTAAACTAAAACTAAAGACTATCTTGATTTTATATCAATGTACATCAATAGAAATTGCACAACCACATGGTAGTAGTGGGAGAAAAACAAAAGGTGATAGAGACAACGACAGTTGTAAGCCAAAAAAAGGCCCATAGATAGTTATATGAAATTCGTGATGATAAATGCAATATGGGTGAAGCAAATCAATGAAGCAAATAAGTAAAATTATTTGCAAAAAGATAAATTCTAAAGATACAATCAGATAAAGCTAGCCACTGCGCATACCATCTCCAAATCTAAATATCGGTTGAAGGATTTTTTTTTATTTCGATCGTTTTCACCCAAACCTTAGTCTCTCACTCTCTCTCTCCTTACTCTGACGCTGGGACGGCTTCCTCAGCGACGATGAAGCACACAGCCGCCATTGTCTTCGTACGCCACTCCTCTATCCTCGGCGCCGGTATGGACTGACCTCGGCCGCATGCCACGGAGCACATAATGATCAAGCCAAGGAGCTAGCCACCATGGTCCTCACAGCCTCGATTTCTCATGTCTCTCTCGGATCTAGGTGGTCTCATGGTGAGAACGGGTAGTGGTGCGATTTCTCAATGGCGGCACAGGGAGGCAGACACTTGGGGGATGAAAGCTAAGTCGTCCGACGCAATCAGAATGTTTACACACACCAAACTTGCTGCCATTGATCGATGTTATCGGGCATGGTGAGGTGAATCAAGCCCAATAATCGAGCATTATCCTCAGAATCGAACAACAATCCTCCCAACATTCCCTAGCAAGCAAGCAACTACCAAGAATCAACAAAAACGCAAGGAAGCAACAATCAAGAATCAACTAAAAAAAATATTACTACTACTAGCAGTACCACCATATAGTGAAGACGAAGGAGGCGTGTATGAAGTTCAGTTGGCGTGAGGTCGTTGTGGATATTTGTCCTTGTCCGACATATCAGCTATCTTTCTCAAAGAAACACAGCGGGGAAGTATTGAATTGAAATTTGACAGGTACCCAATAGCTTTAGTCAATCAAACTGAAAAAAGAGATTACTGTGGCTGATATGACAAACAAGCTACTGATAATTTAATCATCGTCGCAACAAATAAAAGTAAAGGCAGACCCAAAGATCACAACCTATATTGTCCCAAAGCGATCCATATTTGACGAACTTTAAAAAATAAAGAACAGAAACGTACTGGACTCTGTTGCATTACAATTACAACCTAATGTCCCAAAGCGATTCATATTTAAAATCTAAACAATATAGAACAAAAACTGAACTGTTCTCCATCGTGAACTCTATTGCATTACACCCTTTTGTCCCATGCATGCGTTACAACATGTACTGGAGATTTCCTTTTCAACTATTCTCCATCGTCTGCAGTTTGTGTAATCCAGCAGGGTGTATACGGAAAAGATGATTCTAAAAGCTGTTCATTTCCTAATTCTTTGTCATATCCTGCTGGATATATATTGCCCAAGACTTCAACCTTGGAGCTATTCAAGTGATAGGCCAATCCTCGTGTTATTGATTCACTCAAGAAGATAATATCTTTGCATGGATGAAACCCAAGAATATCCACGTACCCAGTGTGTCCACATTCATCATCAGAGCTCCATGTAAATTTCTCATCTTCAGATGCTTGTGAGGTCCATTCAATTTTCTCTTTTGCTGGTGCTTCCATACCGTGATCTCTATTGCGATTATCGTAATAGTAATTAATATCCTGCAAGGCCCAAGGTCCTGTATACTGAAGCTTATGCTTCAACAACCACTTAAAAAGGTCCCTGTCATGCTTCAGAACCCACTCCATCTGACAGCCTGATTCATCAAGGTTCTAAATTTGAACTCTGCATCTTCCCTCGATTGACACACAATAAACCCCCTTAGATGACTTCCCTAGATAAAATTGTGGATAGTTTTTTCCTTCAACACCTGGTGGTGGTTTAATCACATGATACTTATCACTCGACAAAGATATTCTGTAATATAAAATTGATCATTGTTAAGAAAAGATAAAAACCAAAGGATGTGAAAATTTAACAACTTGATATAAAAAAATTGAAACCGAATAAAATGACGATGCGTAACGAGTTAGTATGTACCTCATAACATAATTAGTTTGACAATGCACATACAATGCTCCTCGCCGGTACACAGCATTGCGTTGGTCGCCTAGGCAGTGTCTCATGCCAGACACAGTCCCCATGGAATCACCTTCTCGAGCAAAATACCTTTCCTCCCACTGTCCAGTTCTAGATGAGAACACTTGTAAGATGCATACCGACGGTGGCCACTCAGATTGTTCTATCTCAGGGCCCACTGCATCCCTAGAACTGTCGTAAAGATAATCTCCAGGCTTGTTCACCCAATGAAAACGGGTAATTGAAACCACCTCGAAGTATGGCGATTCGATCGGATCGTACGCGAGGTACTCGACTTGAAAGGTGTCCTTGATCTCCATTGGTGGAGGTGGGCACGGGGGCACGGGAGCCACCCATCGAGTGGCCGGATTAAGCACGTAGCCAATCTCATTGTTGTTGTCGTCGTTCTCGTGGATCAGCACAAGACCATTGCAGTGGTCGTCTACGTAGCCCCAGGAATCGGTTCTGGCCTGAGGCAGGTAGTCGTGCTTGCCGGAGATGCACGGGCGGTGCGAGTGGGGCGCGAAGAACTCCGAGAGGTAGTAGTTGTGGAAGTTTATGAAGAACCCACCCAGCGACAAGGGGAGGAGATCCGCCCGCAGCAGGCGGCGGGCGTCGACGATGGCCAGCCAAGACCTGCAGACGCACCTGGACACGGCGAGGCCCCGCGGCGGGAGGCGGCGGAGCACGTCCGCTAGCACGTCGTCGGGGAGCAGCGCCAGCGGGCACGTCTTATCCTCTGCTGCAGCCTCGCCCTGGTCCCGGCGATCCATCGCTTGATCCGCGCGACGCGCACCGAGAAGCAGCCAAGCAATCGTGGGTCCTCCCCACGGATATCTGAATTCACTCTTGTGGGAACCAACTCCGGCTTGGATCGGGAATTCGGAATATCGGATCAGGAGTTTGGATTGGACTGTATTTTTTTGGTTGAAGTACTAATCGAATCGGACGCAGCGTGCTTCTATCTATTCTAAGGTTGAGGGCTTGGTCGCTTGGCAGTTTTGGCACTGATATTTGTGCGTCTCAAGTACAGGATGAAGGAGATCTACACGGCACCAGATCGCTACGAGAAAGATATCCTCACCGAAATTTATTTATTTTTAACATTATTTTAAACTATTTTCAAATCTGTTTATTTTTTTTTCAAAACTAACACTTTTGACTGCACCTATTCGTATGGTGTGGCGAAATCGAGCCGCTGCGCCATGCATGGCGGTACGACGAAGATGGGCACGTGGCAGTGAGCCGCGTCGTCGGACGATGACGTGGCCGGTCCTGCCGCGTCGTGGATTTAGGTGCGGCAGTGCCGCACCACCCGTCATGGCACGGTGAGGCCCGACTTAAACCTTACGCTGCGGGCTCCCTCCCTCTCTGCCTTAGTTCGAAAAAAGGTGGAGGCCACCGCCTCTCAACTCCCCCAAGCCCGGCCGCCGCCCTGTCCTCCCTTGCCGCCTCCCTCTCTACCTTCCCCAAGCTTCTCCTCGGCCTTGCTCAAGGTAATTATGCTCTTATTAGTAGTTTGAATGGTGGATTAAGGATTAGGATGGGTAGATAGGGTTTGGAGAAAAATATTAGTTCGTTTGAACGGTGGATTCAAGGATAATGATTAGGATTGTCAATGTTAAGGTTAATTAGTTAATTAGAAGCATGTTACCATGTTTAGTGTAAGGTATATTTTTGTTCGTAAGTGTCGGTTATATTTTTTTAGTTGTAATGCAAATGGTTCTCCTTTTACATTAAGACTCTGTTCGCTTCTCTTATAATCCGTCTTTTTCAGCTTGTTTTTTCAGTCGGAACAGTGTTTTTCTCTCACAACAAATTAGCCGGAACAGTGTTCGGCTTGTTTTTTCAGCGAAGCCAACGGGGCCTAATTTGCGATGGTTTGATTGGTTTTAAATTACAACCATTTTGTTAGATGCAAGACATGTATCGGGAGTAGTTATGGCGAAAACGGTATTGTCCTAGAGAATTGTACCCCGACGTCTCCAGCAAAGATGCCCTCGTCCCTTCTAACCTGCCTGTCCCTAACTGTGACTATGGTCGTCCGACCGACATGTTTCAATCGAAACATCCAGACACAGTTGCACGTTGCTTCTACACATGCAGTTGTTTTACTGTAAGTAATTTGTTCCTTATCTTTTTTTTTCTTCATTTGTGTTAGTAGGTTACTAATATTTTTGTTGGAATCTTGTTGTGTAGGACCATGAGAGGTGCTTTTTCTTTCGGTGGATCGACGGTCCAGACAAGTTTGACCTAAGGTACCTCCTTTTCGACGACTGGTGGATAGGGAGACATCCACATGAGCATTTCGAGCAGTGGGTTCCACCTCCCTCTAACCCCCGCTAATGACGGCTAAGGAGAAGCACTTAGCCATAGTTAGACGTCTCGAGGAACCTCCTCTGTGCGATTGCAGAGATCGAGCTGTGATAAACCCTAAGAATACATTGGAGTTTGTGTGTCCAAACAAGCATAAAGTAAGTGGAAAGTGTATCTGTTGAAATGTTGAGCTGTATGTGTTCATGTACTAATGTCACCTTTTTTAGGTGTTTACAATGGAGAAATGTCGTTTCAAGGAGTGGCTCTATGGTCCTAAAAATCAATGGCCGAAGCCACCCAAGGCAAAGGAAAAGAAGAAAGAAAGGATAATCATCGAAGCACCTCCTGTCATGTGCGAATGTGGTGTTAAAGCCAACTACAACCTAGTCCATTCGAAGCTTGGAATAGGCCATTGGTACGGCCATATGGTTGACTATGATGAGGTTGGTTATTGTTGTGGAAAACATGAAATCACATTTTTTTCTTTTGCATAGACTTATGATCTAATTTTTTATTTGAACAGAGCACTAGCAAATGCAAGTGAGAATCTTATGATGGTCAAGCTAAGTTCTTGGATGAAATGAAGGGAAAGCAAGTAATTGCAGGGAAGATGAGGTATTGGCCACAGTACGTCGAGCTCTTCGTTAAACAGCGGAAGAAGGACATGCGTGAGTTTGCTAGACAGCGTGGTTTTCGTAACCCGATCGGTGTTAGGCTTGACAAATGGGGGTTGGAGAGACGGAGGAAGGCAGAGGAGGAGAGGGCAAGGAAGGAGGCAAGAGTACAGATGCAGGTCTTGAACGACCATGTTGTTACATTATGTGCCAGTGAGTGATTAAAAGCCTTGTTTTTTTGTTGCCTGCTTTTAAATATAATATAATCGCGTTGCTAACTGGTTGCATTTTATACATGAAGGGATTGGATGCAGCGAGGACCATGCTGCAGAGGTGGCCCATGCAAGGTTTCAGGAAAAGAAGTTACTTGACCACAGAGCGAGAGGTCGACGCCCCGTGCTATCTCAGATCGTGGAGGCTGATGAGGGGGGCCAGGATGAGGACGATACTGGCAGATTGAGCGAGCTCATCGCTCTAGCAGAGTTGGGCTTACAGGTGAAGGAAGATGTGGATGACACTGGTAGACTGAGCGAGCTTCTCGCTTTAGCAGAGGCGGACTTGCAAGCGGAGGAGGACGCGTTCTTGTCTTAGGCCACAGATGAAGCGAATGCCGCTTACTACAGGCGACAGGCACATCAGGGCAATGCCGGTGAGCCTAGCCATATGAATGAGGCGGAGGAGGACGCGTTCTTGTCTTAGGCCGCAGATGAAGCGGAGGCCGCTTACTATAGGCGACAGGCAGATCAGGGCAATGCAAGTGAGCCTAGCCACAGCAACGAGGTTGTGGTAGAGGATTGGTACTCGGACGATGAGTTGCTTACTCAGTATGTTTTTGACTATGGATTTCTGATTGCGCTGTGTGGTAGTTCCATGCTTTAGATTTGGTAGTTCCATGCTTTAGTAATGAACAATGTTGGTATGTACTAGAACTTATTTGATTGTGTTGTCTTGTGTTTCATTTAAACTATTGATGTATTGTACCCATGTAACGAACATTGTTTCCATTTACCGATCTTTGGTGGCCTTTTGAGCACATTAGGTGTTTTAGCTATTCAAACGAGTTCACGCAATTAAAAGGTAATGAAATAGTGCATTACATAATAACTAGCACGCACAACACATGAAATGGCATGTGAGAACATGTACCAAATAAGGGAACATAGGTCCAGGACTAGACCGAACACGCCTTAGGTAATTAAACCAAACAACTAACACATGCATGTAGCATGTGAATAAGATAGGTTAATCCTAGCAGTGTTTCTACATAGCAAATTGTGTTTCACCTTCTCCACAGTATCCTCCCATTGTTGATGGTGCTGGTGGTGGTGGCGGCGGCGGAGGCCCCTTGCTCTTGTGACAAGGGCAACAATAGTATGGATCAAGGCATAGTGGCTCCTTCGAGCTGCGCGGCGTGGTCCTTGGCTGCCTTGCGGCCGGCCGCGCCGCGCTTCTTTTTCTTCCTAGAGCCGTGGCCCATCTGTTTCGAGTGGAACACCAATAGCTAACAGTTCTATACAGAATATCATTGTCGAGTGATAAATATCACGTGATTAAACCACCACCGGGTATTGAAGTCGAACACTATCCACAGTTTATCTAGGGAAGTCATCTAATGGGGTTTATTGTGCGTCAATCAAGGGAGGCCGCAGAGTTCAAGTTTGGAACCTTGATGAATCAGGCTGTCAGATGGAGTGGGTACTGAAGCATGACAGGGACCTTTCTAAGTGGTTTTCGAAGCATAAGCTTGAGTATCCAAGACCATGTCCCAATTATGGTCGAAAAATCCAAGGACCTTGGGCCTTGCAGGATACTAATTACTATTATGATGATCACAATAGAGATCATGATATGGAAGCACCAGCTCAAGAGAAAGGTGAATGGTCTCTACAAGCATATGAAGATGAGAAATCTACATGGAGCTCTGATGATGAATATGGATGCTACAGTTGGTACATGGATATTCTTGGGTTTCATCCATGCAAAGAGATTATCTTCTTGAGTGAATCAATAACGCGAGGATTGGCCTATCACTTGAATAGCTCCAAGGTTGAAGTCTTAGGCAATATATATCCAGTAGGATATGAGTATGAATTACCAAATAAACAACTCTTACTGTCATCTTTTCCGTACACACCCTGCTGGCTTACACATACCGCCAACGAGAATAATTGAAAAGCTAAGGCAGTTTCCATATGTTGTATTGGAGCTTGAAACAGAGTACAGGTCACATGTGTTCCTTCTTTTTTAATGTTCATATACACAAATATCGTTACTTCGGGACAATAAGGATGTGAATGTGATAATCTTTGGTTTGTCTTTCCTTTTATGTGTTGCAATGATGATTATAAATTCTTGGTAGCTAGATTGTCATCGGTCACAGTAGTAATCTGTATTTTTCCCAGTTTGAGTGAATACTTCCCCACTGTGATTCTTAACTTGAAAATGACATGCGGCATCTCATACAAATATCCTCAATTCCTCTGTGGTTCCTCTCTGCATTGTATACAAATGGAAGTGCGCTTCACGGTGAACTACCAAGCATATTCACCTTCTCTGTCCATCCAATATATGACATGACATTTGTCCAAATGATCTGTGAGAATACCTGAATGTCACCTTTCAAAAAAAGAATACCTGAATGTTTGTGTACCTCGCCGCAGCATGGCCTGGTTCCAAGCACTTCCAGCATCTGGTCTGTCTGCAGCAACTAGCAACCCTGCCTGTGGTCCGAAACCAAGCAGTTAAGGCAGTTCCCCTGCGCGCACTGCAAAAAAAAAAAAAAAAAAACTTCTTCTTTCCTCTTGCTCACCAACTGGACCGCGGTGGGTATAGTAGGTGGGCCT